GCCCATCCTATCCCTTTTGCTGCACAGACCACACAGTGGTAAGGCACAGACTGCAGAGGTGATATGTTAAACCTAACAGGTATTGTGAGTCAGGGTTGTCAGAGCTTAACAGCAAGTTCTCATTCCTGCCAGAAAATAAGATTAACACTGCATAAATAAGCAAGTAAGGAAGCACGGATTCTTTAGGACAAGAAGTGAGATATTTTTTTTGTGATGAAATAAATCAAATCAAGGAAGAAAAATGTTCCTCATTAAATGTTAAGACTTTAAGGATGTGCCAGCATGGCCCAGTGAAGTTCTGGGCAGAGATACCTAGGCAAGCTCTAAGATGCTCTGCTATTGGAAGCAGCACAGCCAGGCAAATACGGCATTCTGCACCAGTTCATTAGCTCTGCTGCAAAGTCAGCTATGTTAACTCAGACAGTGCATCACATTAATGTTTCTTTGCTTCTTCCAAGCAGCAAAGGGGTCCAAGTAAGTTCATTCAGCGTGAGTAGCTCAGTGCAGCACTTATATCAGCCCTCCAGGTACGCAATAAGGCAGAGGACAGCAAACTTTCAAGGTTGGTGCATAGCAGATGGTATTTTTCTTTCCCAGATTAGAGTTAAACATGCTGGTAAGAATGTTGTTGGATCCATGAGAGACTGCCTCTTACAGAAACAATATCCTACCATTTTCTAACATCATTAATTGCATCTGTATGAGGCAGAAGCTCCTGCTGCTCTCAGAACTTTGAGAAAGCTAGAAGGTGGGAGTCACCAACTTCTCTCTCCATATGGTACAACCCAAAACCCATCCTGAGCTAGCCCTACTGGTGACTTAAGAAATTGGCCTCCATGTTGCTACTGGTTTCAGTGCACCAGTTTGTAAATAGGCTGTAAGGGTCACTACAATACAATAAAAGATCAGCAAGACTGAAACTTAAGACTAAGACTTTTTTACACATATCCTTGGGACGTTTACTGTGGCACAGCTGCCTTGCAGGCAAATTACAGAATGTGTTCCAGCTTAGAAGTAGGCAATCCTATCTTCAATTCACATTGAGATAATTGAGAGTCTTTCATAACAGTGCTAAGAATTGGGCTTTGGATTAGGCTGTTGACCTACATGTCTCAGCTGCCTGGCAGTAAAATGGGAGCAGCCCTTCCAGCAGGGACACTGCTGAGAGAATTTCATTCCTACTTCACAAGTGTGGTGAAGTAATATAGACATATTAGTTTTACTAAATTATTTAAAATATTCAGAGAAGGGAAAACAGTCCTAGTTTTTCTTCTGCCTGTACTATTGTAAATGAAAACAATTTTATTGAATACAACTCACTTTATATAAAACCTATTTGAAATTGGTCTATGTGTTTTTATGCACTTAAAATGGATAATAGGCATTTTTCTGGTTCCTCTCATAGCTACACTGACTGTACGTCTGAGGACAAATTTGTGGAGCATTTTTGTTTTGTATTGTAGCTGTTTCAAGGCTTACACAAAATTGTTGCATATTTTGATTTCTTTATCTCAGTTTCCTCTCTTGGGTAGAGTAACTTGAAAGATGCACAAGTCTAAGTTTGAAAATATTGTCATAAAATAATTTATGAAGCTGTTTCAGACATCAGATACATCAGCATGTCAGATATCAGCAGATATTTTAACAGTCATAATTATGTAGAAACTATAGACAAAATTAATTGCATCTACCTTGGTATGGTGAAGTTTTCTGGTGTAACGTTGCTGCACATCCCCATACATATTTTTACCCTTCTTATAGACATAACTATTCCAGAAACACAACATAGGATATACACAGCTAACAGTTACACTTCACTGATCACAACTGATTCTGTTTTGATGCCTTTCGCTGTAAGATGGAAGCTGCTCAGCTCAGCACTACTTGGCAGGGACATGATGACTGACAAAGACTGAGTTCCCAGTCCACTGCAGACGTCAAGTGTAATGTGTTAGTTAAGCTGCCAGACTAGATCAGGCTTCAGTGATGACTGAATCCCAGCTTCAAAAGGTATTTTATTTCAGACGGAAATCAAAAATGGAAAGGACAAGGGATTCTAGCTTTTCAATTCCTAATGCTGTATGTTTTTCAAAAACTTTTGCAATAAAGATTCGTTTTTAAACAAGTCTTACAGTCTGAGATGGCTTATTTCATATCACTTTATGAAAGCAGGATGAAGAGGGCCCAAGTAAGAATCTTCCAGTATCAAACCAGTAGCCCCTAGTCATTCCAGAAGTTCTCCCGTAAGTGAATCTGTCAGCAGACACCTACCTACAGATTCATGTCAGAAAAGAGTTACAGGGACAGGAGATCCTCAGGATGGATCCGTATGTCTTCCTTCCAAGTGGATAAAAAAGACAAGCTTCCTTTTTCTTCTGATCTGACAAGTTAGATGATGCCTGAGATCCTAAATAAGACTGAATTGATCATTTCTTCTACATTCACTTGCATCCAGCATGCATTTTACAAGCTACATGAAAGCTAGTTGGATATTAACACTTTGTATAGTTTGATTTCTGAAAAAAAATGAAGCTTCAAATAATATATAAAACCTGTTCTAGCTCTCATAGCTGTAATGGAAAAAGAATAAAATGAAATAAAATGTGAATGCGAAAGGCTAAATGACAACATTAATGATACAATTCCAGACCAGATACCTCATGAAACACCAAAGGTAATGGTCGAAGTAATGCCATAGTCCCCAAATAACACGAATTTCCCAGGCCTTCCCACAAATCATAATACTAGCTTGTATTTCTGGTAGTTTACAAGATATAACGCTATAAATGGTCAGCAGTTACTTAGAATAGTCAAATATACAATCCCTTCACCAAGAACTCCAGGATACTTCTCATCTGCCAAAAATTCTGGGCTAGTCAGTATTTCCATGGGAGCTACTTAAGAGCTTTCTGTCATTGCATGTTGCATTTTGTTACTCTTCTCCTAAAGAATCACACTGTGAGTAAGAATGATAGAAAAATAAGTTGTTATTATAGCAGACAATGATTCTAAGCTTTCCAAAACAGTTAAGTATAAATCTTCCAGCAGCTATAATAATTCCATAAAAAAGACTTGGATGCAACCAGCATCCAAGAATACAGAAACCCGTTACATTGTCCTTTAAAATAGCAAAGTGCTGGGGTTTTTGTTTCATTTTATTTTATGACTAGCTGTTTATTTCCTTTTCAAAATTCCTAGTCAAAATCTCAAGAAATTAGGTGAAAATGATAAGTATTAACCCATTAGCATTTACAGAATTGCAGCCAACTTTCCAAATTAACATGTTTCCCAAGTTTAAACTGTGCGTGGACTCCTGTAGGTCAGTTGTTGACCTTGGGTATGGAGGTGGGGATGGGGTTAAGGGGTGGGAAAAATAAGAGAGAAAGAACAGAAAGGAGAAAAAGTTTAAAAAATCTTTCTCTAACAAAGGCTGCTGAAGTAAAAATAAAGTGTATTTTGTTTAAAACTTTTCATGTAGTTTTTTTCCTTATTTTAAATAAATAAATACAGGAAGAATTCCAGCTGGGATGGAACCTACAGAGCCCTTTGAGCAATTTGAATAATTATAGACTTGGATAAATTGCAGCTAAACCATTTGTTTCAAAAGTGCTACAGCCAAAAACTAAACCAACAACCTTTCCATGAAAGAGGTCTGTTACTAGATTCAGAATGAAGTACAGTGAGCTGTAGAAAGTCACCGACTATTCATAACTTACATAGTGAAGAAAATTTTTCCCTATAAAGGCTGTAATTTCCACATTTCAGATACCAGCAAAAATAATGGTATGCATTTGCTAGCCATATGTACTCAGACAAGAGTAAAGGTATTTTCCTGAAGTAGCAAATGCAGAGTTGGTTTTTGACTGTTACATCCTCTAATTTCAAAAATGAAGGTTGTCTTTGTAATAAACTAATCTTTGTTCTTATGAGTCTTAAACGCAAAGGCAGGAAGACTTATTTTCATTCTAACAATGGCCATCCTTCACATTCTCTTTTAAAATTTCACCCCCATCCTTTTCTTACTGATTTTGTACCAGTAGATGACTGCATGTACCTCTACCATGCCAAATGTTTGAGACTTTACTCAATGGTGACATTGACATGGTGACAATGGTGACATGGTAAAATGGTGACATATGGCAAAGCTTCATATTCAGGGTTCCATGAAAATCACTGTAAAATTTATCATTCTTATACAGACAAGATTCCAGTAAAAATCCTTGATTTTGTAGTGAGCTCACCACCATGACATCTCTGGCCACCTGGAACCTGCAGGACTCAGTGCAGCTGATTTTACCACAGATTCTGCCAAACACGCCTCTAAGAGAAGCATTGGGACAGAGGTATAGAAATGAGGATTTGATATATTTGTATCTGCCAAATACACAAAATTTTTCACATACCAAATGTACTGAGATACCAAATTGCTTAATTTGCTTAAGCCTAAGGTGACTGAGGGAAAACAATGCTATTCAGACTTGTATGCTACGTAATGCCATAAATGGTTCAGATTGGATATTAGGAAGAATTGCTTCTCAGAAAGAGAATGGAATAGGCTTCTCAGGAAGGTGGTGGAGTCATCATTCCTGGAGGTTTTCAAGAAAAGTGTAGATGTTGCACAGAGTGACATGGTTTAGAGTGTCACAAGCATGGGTGGATGGTTGGACTAGATGGTCTTATTGGTCTTCCCAACCTTAATGACTCTATGATTCTTTGAAAATCACACTGCCACAGCTAGCAACAGCATTCCCAGTTACACCTGTCACCCTCAACAGCAGTCATTTATCTTCTTTCTCTAACTCCTTTTTATAAATAAATATAAACGTGCACAGTGCTAGTGCATTTAAACTGTGTAGTCAAGACTTTTTTACTTCACATGCAGTTGATTTGGGATTTGCCTGTGGCTGCCAGGATTATCAGTGAAGTTTGGCTGCCTTCCCTGAAGTCCTGCTGCTTTGGAGGTCTCCACTGTAGTACGCAAGACAGTTGGGGCAAGGGAACAGATGCTTCTGCAAGATCCTTTCATCTAATGGAACAGAAGTGCAGCACTAGTAAATATGCACCTGTGAGAGCACACTGAATTTGGGACAAAGGTAAAATACATTGATTTCACTTTTCATAGCTAAATTCCTTCTTTCACATGAAAAACAGATAAAAATTTAAAAGGAACTAAAAGAGTTATGAAATTGAGCAAACTATTGGTGATTTAGTTTTAATAGAAGCAGAATGACAGTGCAGGAAAAAATTTTAAGCTATTTGCATAGGCTGATGGCTTCTGTTCACATCTCAGTTGGGCATTTTTATGACCAGCTCAGTGAGGAACTGTGTTTTGTTTTCAGCAGTGACTAGAATAGCAAAATCAACTGCTCAAACTGCTTGACTTTAAAGGACAGATAGTGAAGATATATTGCAAGACTGGAGAAAAGCAATACTGCTCCAGTTCCAGGTCTGGAGAGGATTGCTTATGAACTGAGTTGTAGACAGCAAACCAATATATGCTCCTCAGCAAGAAATATAGAGTAGGGACAGAAAAGAAAACAGAAATTAGAGAAATGGGCCACTGACACATTCTTGTTTAAGTGAAATTTTCATCTCTGAAAGGGAAAGCGATCATCATAACGATGAATGTGATATTAAAATATTTTAAAAGTTTGATAGTTTTCCAATGTTTTGTCCAATCATTTTTAATAATTTGACCTAGTTTTCTTTTTTTTTTTTTTTTTGTGAACCTGTTCTAAGCATTTCTACTTATATCTAGCCAGTATCTTCTACTGCTTACTTTCGTCTTGTTATTGTAAGTGATAATTGTATGAAAAATCCTAAACAATGTGTCTGCCCTTGCTGTTCACAGTCTTGAAGTGTTTATTCATCATGATTTGAGATTTAACTTAATTCAGACAAGCTACATAAATTACATTCTTTTAATCTTCTGTCATAAACCAATTCTTCTTGTCTCTTCATGATCCATCTTCTTTGATTTATATGCATTTTGACTGACACTATGAGGTTTCCAGGAAACAGTGCATGATTTTATGTATGCCCTCATCCATGCCAAAAGTTCTATAGGGTCTCTGAATAAAATCAAATAGCACAAAAGACTGCTGCTTTTCAACAAAGAGCTATGACATCTACTACTCCCCCAAAACTCAGAAATTCTATTCTTCCCTATGTCTCCAAAGTATAAAAATTCTTATTATTCATTCTAGTAATCCGCAAGCATTCTGAGTTACAATGGTAATGTTTTCCCCAAGGGTCACAGCACTGATTTTGATATTTGTTTCCTTATCTTCCATAAGTTGTTGCCATATAAGAACAACTTACTATTTAAGGGGAAATCCTTACTAACTCTTCTCAGTCTTGAGACTGGGCCTCTTCCCCATGTGACACTGAATTTAGGGGCACAACAGTAGGATTTCCTAGAGCTCAGTAAACAGAGAGAAACAGGGGCAGTCTGCTGCTTGCTCTGTAGGCAGCTCCGACTCTTTTTCAAAACATTCCTATGAATCAATTATCTAGAAAAAAATCTCAAACACCTGCTTTGTCTTAAATATGTGAAGAAAATAGTGATTTTGATAGGAAAATCCAGATGCCTAAAATGGAGTGTACTTTAAAGTGTTTTGCTAAAACAGAGCCCAAGGACAAAAGATAGAGTTTGGAAACTGCATCAACAATAGACAGCCATTACCTAAAACATGAAATGAACTCAAATATTTTAGCTCTGCTATGTATTTAATTGTTTTAATATTCACTCATACCTGCAATTCCTGCAGTGAGAGTTACTGTAATAATACTATATGCAAGAACAGTCTCTTGATACTTTCTGCACATATAAAAGTGGAAATCTCACAAGAGAATTTGAGCTTGAAAGATTTTTAGCCTGATTTCTACACTGAAAGGCTTTGTTGTGCTTTTGGATCAGCTTCAAAAATTTTTGATGCCTCTTTCCGAGGCTCTCCAAGTACTGCTAATGCAAAGATCACAGTTTCAGTTTTAAGCATTTATTAAAAAGATAATTTTCTCTGAGGGGAGGGGAAATAATAAACCCACTGATTAACCAGCATCACTTAGTTTGTATCAAGGAAACCTAAATAATTTTCATGTTGCCCTTAATTTCTCGGTTATCATTACCACTTCCCTACAACTCCCCATCAGTTTCACACTGAGGGTGTGTTACGAGGCTGAGTGGGGACATGCAAATCATGCATACATCCCTGGAAAAATGCTTGGCAAATCTGGCTTTTCAGTTTTGCATTCACTTGCCAAAAAATATTCCCTCATCCCCCAAGCCTTCCCTCTGCCATGCCTAATTTAATTTCAAAAGTCAGAAGCTTAACGGGGACATAAGCTTCCTAAACATGCTGTCATCTAACAGAGAATGTGAATTCAAAGCTCATACTTATGAATTTCTTTAGATGCAGAAAAGTCTCTGCAATCTTCCAGATATTCTCGTCCACAAGTGCTAACATAAGAGGCTTCATACAGAAGGTGGGGAGCTGCCCTTCCCAATCCGCTTACACCCCTCACCCCCCCCCCCCCCAAAAAAAAAAAAACCCACAAATATCGGGTTTTTCACTATCCCACATGGCCAATGAGGCATGACACTTTTTTTCTGTGATGCCAGCGGTTGTGAGTTGCAAAAATATTCCACATTTCATTGCAACAAGAAGCTGAACGGCTCGGTAGAGAGCTAAGGGCAAACCGGAGTTCTGTAACTTCGTTATTTTATCTGGCAGAGGAGACCTGCATGCACTGAATTTTCAGTTTTAAGTAAAAATAGATCACTCACTTCCAAGAACTCTCTCTTCACACCTTCCTTTTCCTCAAGTCTTTAGGACCTTCGCAATGTACGAGTGCAAATACACTGTGCCTATTTAGGAGGGAAGAAAGGAAATGATGGAGATATCATTCATTTTAATCACTGGTTTTAAAACAGCTGGTGAGACTTGCCTTCTTTAAGCACAACCATTTTGTACCTTTTTTCTTCCTCCGATAAGGAGGAATTTTTGCTTAAAGTGAGAGTTAAGTACTTGCCAATAGCCCACAGTAAATACCTTTTTTTTTTTTTTTTTTTTTTTTTTTTCCCCCCTTTTTGTACTCCTGTGATGACTGGCCTTCTTTCCCCTTCAGTAATCACTGTCTAAAAAAAGAAAACCTCCAAGAGCACTTCACTTCTGTCCCTTCCCCCTGGCAGAAAGCCCAGCCTCAGTATGATGCTTTTTAAACCCTTCCCCCCACAGACACACGGTTTCCACCACATCATTATCCCGCACAGCAGAAGGGGGGAGGCAGGGCTGGGGGATATGATACAATACAAGCAGAGATACACTGAGACAGCTCTTTAGAGCAAGCACCTAACGCTTTCCGTTCTGTATATCTGCACATACAGTTACATGTATGCACACGTGAACAAATAACCACATAAGAGAAATCTTTTGGTGTAATTTATTTCATGGTTGCCTTGGGTAAGAGGTCTGTGCCACAATGAAAACATATTGAGTATACAATGAGTTCAAATTGCCAGGGAATCTAAAGTGCATGTGAATGTATCGTGCACATGCAAGCGTGCTGATTTGTTGGAAATCCTGCAGCAATTCCAGTAGGCTGAGAATAACAGCCAAAAGAAAGAGAGGAAAAAGAAAAAGAGAAAAGAAAGAAAAAAAAAAAAAAAAAGGAAAAAAAAAAAAAAGAATGCAGAGCCTTTCTATTGTTGTGCAACGGGCAAGTTCTCAGATAATGATATGAACTGTGTGATACAGCGCTCTTTCCACAAGAAACTAATGGGAACTGTGATGATGCACAACAATTTGGGATCCTACCCTGGGTAAACAGCGCTGTTATCATCCCAAAGAGTGCTGCATGGAGGTGACCAGCAAATGAAGGCTGCGTTATTCAAGACATTTGTATGGAAAAACTAAACTCGGTTTTACAGCAAGGAGTCCTTCCAGTGCTGTTGTTTTATCAGTCACCCAGAGAATCAATACGTTTTTACTATATCATTTATACTGCTGCAGCAAGCCAAAGATCTTCTGTGATAAACTGTGGTTTACTTTTTCATTCCTGTACCCAGGTAAGTAGTCCACACAGGTCATACAAAGCTAAGTGTCTTACTCTCTTCCTTGCAACCTAGTTCTAGTTTTCTGGGAATTAGCTCATGAAATTGCCCAGAAACACTGAATAAGACAGTCTTCTCTTTAAGCTGATGATAGCAGCATAAAACAATTGAATCTGGTATCTTTTTTTTAACTTGCTCCAGTAATTTCAATAGAGATCAAAATAAATATAGAGATAAGCCTATTTAACTAGAATTAAGATAACCTGTGAAATGTCACTGGATGAGGAGACACAGTTCTTCTATCCTGGGAAACACAGAGGTTGTGCTCAATGGCACCAAATGTACAGAGCAGCCCTGGCTGAAACTGTCCCTGCCCCCTTCCTGTGAGCTGCTTGCTCCTGTTTGCATGATCTCAACCATTTCAGGGTTGCACCATGAAACTCATTAGGAAACAAATTCAGTTAGAAAAAAAAGAAAGAAAGCAATAAAACAATAGAGATGGGAGCATGAAAACAGAGAGGGAAAATCAACTGCTGAGGACAAAACTGCCATTACTTGTATTTTATCATCAAATCACAGTCTTGAGCAAAAGTCTTGAGCAGTGTAAGATAGTGTTCTGCTACACAATGCACCTCCTTTCACAAACAGCTACAACTCCTCCATTTGTGGAGGAAACCTTCACGGTTTTTGTGGTCATATTTTGAGCCAGATTTGAGAAAGGATCTTCTGCAAAAGATTGGGTTTTAATGATTTTGTGTTTTTTTCTTCTGCAAAGACAACAGAAGGTTTGTTTGTGAAGTAGATGAGCTGGAAGACCTGGTGAGAGTGCAGCTGCACCAGCAAAAGGAGTAACTCCTGATGGGAGGAAAGGGTGAATAGGGTGATAGGGAAAAGCAGGGAAAAGAGCTACCTCTGGTGGGAGCAGGGTTTCCAAAGCAACCCATGCCCCAAAAATACGTAATCGTGCACATAAACTGAGCTGCAGTCACTTTGCTCTCCACAGGCTTTAACAGTCATTTTATGACTCAAGTGTGCCAAACCCTTATGAGACCTTTTACAGAGGAAAATCTACCACTGAAATAAATTCCTATCTATATTAAGATAAGACCTTCAGAAGAGACGGGATTCTGCTTAATGCAGTACAAAGACAAGTGTTTCCCAAATCATCCACCAGAGTCTTGGGAATAAGCCTATTAACAAACCAGGTGAAAAAGCTGACCACAACTTTTGCGTTTGGAGCCACGCGCATTCAGATGATTAGCTTGTGTAAGGTTAGGATCGAAAACTAAATGTTGACACTGCAGTCAGTCAATCAAATCTTGCAGCTAAATAAGAAGGATGCCTTGGGCAAGACCTAGTCGACCTAGATTTCAAGACTGTGTAAATACTCTAATCCTGTTTATCTGCTACCTCTCTCAGGGAAAATCAAATTCTTAGTGGATTCCCAAAGCCTCTCTCCCTTGTTACATTCGGTCGGTGAGGGGACAGAGACAAAGCCGCTTCTGTGGCTTGTCACCACGGCAGCTTGGATTCAAAACACTTGCAGCAAACTGCTTGCAGTTGTGTATGAGAGAGGAGACACTGGCAGGAAATTTCAATAATGAATGTGTTTGGGAGGGGGAAAAAAAAAGCTATCATATATCCTAAGTGCAGAGGAAAAAGATATTTTATTTTTAAAATAGTCAGAGGTCAGAAGAATGGCTCAAAGAAAGCTTAACATTTGTGAGAGACCCCTCTTACAATGAATGTAAGACCAAGCCAGTCATAAGTAGCATCCAATATTCTCTCTGAAAATCTAGCATTTATTTAAACATGAAGTTTCTTCATTATAACTACTACTGCTATTGCAGATCATAACCAACTGTGTGGAACAGCTTCCAGTTAGCAGAGAAAGGAGAGGCTGCAAAATTAAAATCAGCAACAAAATGATCCGTGTACCACTACAGTGCAAAATGCTGAGCCCTTTTGCAAGAGAATTGCACTAAGAATGTGAAATAAAAGTTGTCCCTCATCTGCAGTAAAATTTCCCTCACATAGCCTTCCCACATTAAGCACAGGGCTGAGGGAAAAGCTGCCTCCTCTGCTGAGTGGGAATATGTACAGGTTGAGCAGCCCTTTGGGCTAGGAGGGAGGAAGAGAGGAGGCCCGGAAATTTAAGCCAGTTCCTTTCTGTTCAAAACCCCAAGCATTGTCTCATTCTTCCATAGCAAACAGTGCTTGTAACTACTCTAGTAAAAAGCATACGTCAAATATGCTTTCCTTCTTTTCCTGCTTTCTTTCTTTTTTTTTTCTTTCTCTCTTTCTTTCCTTCCTTCCTTTCTTACTTTCTTCTTTTCTTTCTTCCTCTCTTTCCTTCTTCCCTTCCTTGCTTGCTTCTCGTTCCTTTCTTTCTTTCTTTTCGTGTGTGTGTGCGCGCTTTTTTTTTTTTCCTCCAGGAAAATGGTCCGACAAACCAGTGTAACACTACCCTATTTTAGATTGTGCAAAGTATGTTTACCAAGGCTGAAAGGAATTTCGTACATACACCCTCCCCCAGGATCTGCAGGGCTCAAGAAGGGCTGAGCCAGGCGGGGTAAGAATTGGAAAAGTTAAGAAAAAGAGAAGGTTTTTTAAAATAATAATTAACAAAAAACAAACAAACAAACAAAAACAAAAAACAAGCACCTTTATTTTCTTCAATTCTTGACCTGAAGCATAAAAGTCACCACAAAAACACACTTCTTTATTTAGTTTTGTTCCCTGTTAGATAGCTAACACTGCTTTAAAAACACTTGATTTTGTTGAAATTCAACAAATGCCCCCTACCTAAAACACATACACAAAGGTGCAGGCACAGAAAAGATTTCTCTAACAGAGAGAAATCCATTGGATTGAAACACTTTTTTTTTTTTTTTTTAACCCAGACAAATTAAACTACTTAAGTAATGACACTGCTACAAACAGTGATATCAGTGCAAGCAGAAAGGTGCCATGATGTGAGGCAAGAGTGTCAACAAATAGCCAGGAGATAGGAAATGTGTGATTCACAGTCTCCATAGACTAGATGAATCTTCCTTCAGAAGTGTTTGTCTCCATCAATTATAGATAGAGCCTGGTCAATCATCCAAGATTACACACTGCACTTTTTGCTGGCTGGCAGCTGGAAGCAGTAGTGGAGGGCAAGTGATAGTTATAGAAGTCATTTCAAAATGTTGCACATCCAAGGAAAGAAGTAGCTCACATACAGACATTCTCTTCCTGGTGCATGGCCTTGTTCTCACAGCATCCTGTTCTTCCGAAAGTAGTCAAGGCGAGGATTGTCCAGAAAATGCTCTGCAAAATCTTTGCAAAATCAAATCCTATATCTCAGTAGTGGAAGAAAAAAAAAAATCAATCAAACAAAAAAAGAATTTACAGCCACAGCTGACTTCCTCAGTTAACATGATCTCCACAGATGCACACAAATGCTGCATGTTAATTTCTTGCAGGCTGGAATACTATGTTCTCTGTTGCGTAACTTTGACTGTGTATTTGAGCATGATTATAACTGATTCATTGGATGAGCTACTTATGCTGCAGCTGAAAGGGAATTTGTTAGAAAGTCGAGTTATCTGTTTGTGTGTTTGGCTGTATGGTAGCAGGATGCTACAACAAACTGTTTCTGCTTACATGTGCTCATATTGTTTTAACTGTGGGGAAATGCTCATAGCAATGTGATATGGACTAAAAGCTATACAGAGAGAAGTAGGTTCTTCAGTCTGCCTTATTTTAGACATCTAAAAATTAGATGAATCACTGCCTGCAATTGTCTATCTCTCCACAGTGTCTTAGGCAGCAGTTGGATACATATCAGAAGAAAAATAACACCCTTTCTCTACCACTGCTTTTTACTATTGTGGCAAACTATTGTGAGTACTCCATCTAAATAACTGTATTTATGCAGTAGATACAAATTGCTATAACTCATATTACAAACTCACCATAGTTCCTCCAAGCAAATCATCATAATCTCAAGATTAACTTCTATACCCAAGTCTAGTGGTAATTTGTGCTTCAGCCAAGCAAGACCTTTATCATATTCTCACCAGTTTCCTTTCTGCAGGTTCACGTTTACCAGCCAGTGAACATCATATATTTAACTATGGAGGAATAAATAATGCATAAAATCCTTTTTGTGAATACTCAAATCGTGTTTTCAGCAGATTTACATAAAGTCACATTCACTTTGTCCTTCCTTCTTCACTTTCAATCTAACATGCATGAAATACTCAGGGGAAGCAGAATTTGAGGTTACACACTGAAATTCCCTCAGCTCTGCAGTTACAGGAATAACTTTGCTGTGAGTTATTTTTGTAGAAAACAGAAAGAATATCACATATATGAAGAATTATCATTGGCAGAACCCAATACAACACTAGTCATGGAGGTTTCAATATAATTGACTTAAGTAATATTGACTTGAGTCATTTCAGGCTAGGTCCATTAATTATAATTAAAAAATAAAAACAGCACAGGAGGACAATAGTGTGATCCCAAGATGTTCTCATTATCTACAAAATACAAATGACAGCAATAGCCAGAAGGATAGAATATTCTGTTCACAGGTATTCTATTAATAGAAACCAAGGCATAATATTTGTACAAATTACTTGTTCAGAATATAGATTAATATTTTGAGAACCTCTAAAAACCCCTTGTTTTTCAACTAAAAGAACTTTGTTTCCTTTTAAATCAGTGAACTTTTTTAGCTCAGCACATTTTTTTTTCAATCTAAAAACCTTTCTTTCCAGCCATCTCAGTATCTTTTAAACAAAGAGCAGATAGAAAACAAGCGACTCCTTTGCATTGCCCCCAGAAAGTCAGACAAAAAACGTGAACCAGGGGAGGTTGCACCTCAGTAACAACCATGTACAACTTTTTGTTGTGTTAATAATAGTCAAACATGCAAAACCTGTCAAAAAGAAGCTGAAAGTCCCTTCTCTGAGGCACTCCCGGGTCTTGGAGGTTTGTACTCTCTGTTTCAGTGTGACATGCATTGTCTTTTTGGCACTGTGATTATCTTTGCCTCATTGTCTGCCTCAGGAAAAGATATCACTGACTGTTCCACCTTAGTGACTCTTTAGGTATGAGATAACCTACTTAATGCTGGCTCTCCAGATGTTCAGAAATCTGGACTTTACTGCCATGTGGGATCTTCGTGGCAGTGCATCCACTGTCAGGATTTGTTTCCCTTCTTCTCTCACAGTAGATAAGCTTTATAGAAAAACATGCTAGTAAGACATGAGACAGGCAAAAGTAGCACAACTGCTACTGCAGCGTTCATTTTCCCTTTTCCTCTCTCCAGAGATCCCCTGCCTTAGTTTTTCTCCATCATTGCACTAGATTTATTGCTCCAGTAAATTTCTGCAAAAGGAGAAAAAGATGATAGTTGAAGACCCTGGGGACTACCAGCATGGATCCCCTGTCCGCTCAGGTCTGCTTTGGAACAGAAGTATTCAGAGGGTTCAGTTTTTCCATCAGGGCTAAGCCAGAGCCGGGGACAAGTAACAGAGAGAGTGGGGGACAGGCAGTAAGGAAGAGGATGAGTGTTTGGAATGGCAAGATGGAGAAACCTCTGGAAAGAAATGGAAAGGGCTGGTGGAATCCTTGGGCCCTAGGGGACATTCGGATAACAGGAAGAGGAGCAAAGGAGGAGTGAAGCAAATGTCCACAGTTCTGCTGGTAAAAAATGTGCCCGTAAGAGTTTTGCTCACCTATGGGGAATGAAAGGATGTTTTTCCCATCCATTCCATCTTATATTTGACTTTGAAATCAAGTGAAACACTCTCTCTCTTTTCTGATATAATTTAACTCGGTTGCATGCTGTTGTGGAATATAGTGTGTGACTATTTTAATCACTACAGTAATTTGCACAATGAAAGGAGAAATACAGAGATCCTGTGAGATGGGCCATGGTAATGTCATACCATGCTCAAAACTTTACTTAGCACCACTGTGTGCTCCATTTAAAGTCTGACAATCCCCATTCTCACATTGCACTTCATTTAAATCTGACATTCCAGTTACCTGGAGCAAGTGCTTTGATGAAGAGAAACTTGGAGGGTATTCCACCAGGACACATTAAACTGTTACAAGTCATAAAACATCTGCACCCAATGGCAAGCTATAAAGCTGAATGGATAAAGCTATTAAATGGATAGCATTGCTGAGCTGAATTTTGCCCCTTGTGAGCACACTCAGCTGGTTCACACATGCAAAAGGTTTTCCCATGATTGTATCTTGTACAGCTCATATGATTACAATTTCCAGTAAGGAAGATTGCTTACAAGAGTTGAGTTAGGACAAATTTGTTTGCTCCTGCTGAACGAAGAGCAGATAGCATGTAAGATTCCTCCAGTGTTTATTGAGCATATAATGTGAGAAGTCTTTTCCCATCATTTTGGATGTGTGGTTTTATAAATTAAAAAATACTGAGATTGTAGGATAGAAAAAGTCAATAGTGTAAGAATTTATATATGTGTGTTTTAAAAAACTTTGGTATTTCTGCCAGCTCTTTTTATTCAACTCCACCCCTCTGTACACAGAAATGAACAGGGAGAGGAAGTGGCATCTCATTCCAGCTCTGCTCTGAAGTTCAGCAGAGCCAGGGATCGGCCTGGACTCCTACAAAGACCCCGGAAAAGATCAAGCAGATCATAGCATAAAGAGTTCCTACACTCTATGTATTTAAACAACATTGGTGGCTTCGCTGGTTAAGACTAAATAGAGGTAGGCATAGGTTTCTTTCTAGCATCCTAACATAGACAGGAAGTCATCCACCCAAATGTGATTGCTAGAGACCATATTTAATTTTTTAAGGGGAAACTAAAAATGATCTTCAAAGAATGAACAGAACCACTGTCTGTATGTTGTCACAGACTCCTACTGATTTTGTCCAAGAAATGTGACCTTATTTTCTATCCATGTCTTTTTCCTAGGTCTGCTATTCACCACAACATCTACTCAGTGGAAGCCACATTCATAAGATACTGTTCTAAGCTGTTTCATGTTCCAACAACTACTCCCTTATTTTCCTTGAGTGGACTGCCATTTTCAACACATACAAAAGCTTCTAATTGCCACAGGGCCCACAAAGTCCCACTTAGGAAGAACTAGGATTTCTTTTTGCTGGTATATCTTCACTATTTTTTTTCATTGAAAAATTGAACAGAGAAGAAATATAATTTATTGACACACATTTTCCAAAAGAATCCTGCTCAGTAATCTGAAATTCTGTTTATATATATTAGAATTCCCGTTATCTTTACTTACAACAAATTCTCGACACTATAGATTAATTTGTTATACAAAACTTTGCATTTTTAACCAAGTAATATTTTCAAAAGTAAAACATTAGACTGAAGAACTGCCAACCTCCTGCACCTACTGTATTTCTAGGTAATCTTGTCTGCAAACATTAACTCAACTACTACCTCTAGACAGGGTAATCACTTCAGCAAACATTCAGTTACTAATCTCTGAAAACACAGCTCACACAGCTGTCTTCTTGCTATACATCTATCTCCTTTAGATTAAACAGACTGATTCTCTGTTCACTCAAGCACAGTTGCTTTCATTCATACTGGATCACCATTTTACCTGTATCCACACGATGGACTTTCATCTACCACTCAGGACATTCCTTAAAGCTTCAACTTCAGGGTAAATTCAAATGTTGTGAATTTTAGACGAATAACAACTCCTGGGCAAGTTTTATTCTGCAGAAGTCTGCTTACACAAGTAAAGCAAGTACATGAGTTTTCATGACAGTAATCCTATACTGCAAACAGTATAGGAATTTGGACAGTATAACATTATCTAAAGACATTATTTCTGTAGCATCTTTCATTGCCTCCCATTCCACCAATACTAGCTTAGCTCTTATTCACTTGTTAAAATTTCAGATAAGTATCTTTATGTTTTCTCCCACATTTTCCTTTGGTTTGAGAGAGGTTGCTGGTTAACAAATCCACTTCAAACTATCTTAGATCCTTTCTTAGTAATCTCTCTTGCCACTCAGTATGTAGAAAGAATTGCTGGTGATTTATGTACTGGTGTGATAAAACCTCTGCTTTTTGTGTAAACCTGCCTTACTGCCTCTTTATATGATTATATTTGTCTCTAGCAATTTACTTTCTTATACTGTAGGCTCATTGCAGAATGTTTTCCCTTGGGGTCTTAGCAACACTGTGGTGGTACTGCTACTGCTCCTGAAAAAGAATTATTTGAACAAGAAGAGAATCAGAACCATTATATCCATATATTTCAACACATAACACTATTTTTTACAAAGGCCAAGCAATTTTACAATCCCAAGCAATATTCACACTCTTGTAGTTTTGTGCAAGTGTGAAGAAGCATCTGTTCTCTGAGCATGGTACAGACTAACTATTCACATACAAAAGACCACTCTTTTGAAATGAGCATATTTTGTAGAATCACAGATAATGTCATTCAATGTTAACCCTCTAAGACAAAAATGTATAGTATGTTGCAACAAAGGCATGAGCTTCAGTTACTCCAGGAATCACAGAAAGAAATTTCTTCAAATAAAAATAACTTGAACATGCACACCATAACCATCACATCTTGAAGCAAGGATTTATACTGCATCTACAAAAATGACCGTCAATTTTTGCTAAGAGCAAAGAAATACTATATTATTATTATTATTAAAAGCACATCAGTATTTTCTATTGTCAAATTCACCTGATGATATGCATAAGCCTCATGAAGTTCAAGGCCTAGTGCAAGGTTCTGCATCTGGGTCAGGGCAATCCCAAGCACATACGCAGGCTGATGAAAAACTCAGCCTGACCCAGAAATGTTCCTTCACAGATCAGAAAGCCAATTATATCCTGGACTACATCAAAAGCAGCATGGCCAGCAGGTGAAGGGAGGTGATTCTCCCTGTATACTGTGCTCTTGTGAGACCTCACCTGGAATACTGCATTCAGCTTTATGTCCCCCAATATAAGAGGACATGGACCTGTTGGAATGGAAGAGAGCCACAAAGATTATCATGGGGCTGAAATAGTTCTATCTACTAGTAGATAGATGGAGGGATCTGTTTTGTTTAGCCAGGAGAAGAGAAGGCTTTGAGAAGACTTGATTATAGTACCTAATGGGGAGCTACAAGAAAGCTGGAGAGGGACTTTTTATAAGAACACATGATAGGAGAAGGGGTATTGACTTTAAACTGAGAGAAAGCAGATTTAATTTAGATATAAGGAAGAAATACTTCACTGTGGGGGTGGTGAGGTTGCCCCAGAGAAGATGTGGATGTCCTATCCTTGGAAGTTTGAGGCCACATTGGTTGGGAATTTGAGTACATTGGTCTAGTGGAAGACATCCCTGCACATGGCAAGTGGTTTAGAGCAAGATAGATAAACCTTAAGGCCCATAGCATGACGATAATCATTTTAAATATTTCTATTTGAATGTCTGCTGTCCAGGGCTAATTTTGTTATGAAGTAATATGAAAAATGTATTAGATTCTATTTTACCCATCTCCCATATCATTGTGTACTTTAAAGGTATGTTATAAAAAGAATCCTTCAACATTTTCTATTATATATTTCTGTAAAAATATGGTCTTCCTCACAAAAATACACATTAAAATTATAATAAAATCTGTTGGGTCATTTCTGCAGTCTGTGGGTGTTCCTTTGAATGGCAGCATGCTCATCTTAACTATCAACCCACCCTATTGTCTGCAGAGTTACTGAATGTGAACTGTGGAACATCATCCGGGTCATTCATGAAACACGTAAAACAATATTTGCTCATGGAATGCACCGCTAGCAACTGGCCTATAGGCAGAATTTGTGCTGCTGCTCACAATCCTATGAGTCTATCAACTTAGAAAGCTTTAAGTCCTTCTTACCAACCACTTACCTAGCCCATACTTCATCTGCTTTTCAATGAGATCCTTATAGGAGAAATTGTCAAAAGTCAATTGAGGTGTCACATGAGACAATCTTGAAAACCACACTAAAAATCAAGAGAAGCTGTATGAGCCACTACTGCCTTACATACATAAGGCTTTTCCAGTTGTCTGAAGAATTGCATCACCAAATTCTTCTTGATCAATGTCAAGGCACCGTGATGGCCAGTGGCTTAGTGCCAGTGGCTAGGTTCAGGAAGCATCAGGGATTCACTCTGGGCAGGGCCAGATCTGGAAGACAGATCTGCCTGATCTGGCTTGCAGCCAGCAACAGGACAGCCTGAGCACTGGGATAGCTCCAGCCCTGGACCTCAGGCACCTTCCTGTTGATGGGTATGGCCAAGGCCAAACCAGGATATCAGCCCTTCAGTGGAGTCAGGATCATCCCTGTTGAGAGAAACCAAGATCAAACCATTTCAAAAGTAATTTTTTTTTTTTTTTTCCTTTCTAGACAATTTTTCAGCCAAAGTAACATTTTGAATTATCAGAATGTGAGAATATTTTTACACACACATCCATGTTATATGACAAAAGAATAAAAGGAAAAAACTCACCCATTTATACTAATATCATAGTTTAATATTTTCTCTTTGCTATGTTTGATGTTAGCTTATTGAATCCTACCCTCCCCACTCAGGTTCTGAAATTGGTTATGGGCAAGATAGATTTACCTGTTTGAAGTTCAAGATGGATCAACTCTACTTCTAATTCTAGTTCTAAATTTTAATGTACTTTCAAAAAGAAATGTAAGGTATTAATAATAGTACTTTATGTACTATTGTACATTGCTTTCAAAGTGATCCTGACAAAGCCCATGGAATCACATTAAATAAGCTCAAGTATTAATCAGTATGTGTAGTCTGTAAATCTCATGAACCTCCACTTCAAATTATATTAAATCATCTTGTTTTCCGAAGTACATTTTACAAAATGTAGTACATCAAGCATCACTTCTTTTTTAAGTAAAGATTGGCCAAATACGTACCTCAAACTGAGCTTTAATGGTCCCCTTCAATTCTGTCAAAGCTATGGATTTCAGAGAGGCTTTGTCAGAAATAAAAATTGGGATTGAAAACATATATAAAGCAGCTCTCTGACAAAGAACCATATACTTAACTTTGTTTAGAGCACTTAACTTTATATATATCTCCTATCCATTCCTATGAAGAAAAAAAAAAAAAAGATCTTGCATGTATTTCATCACAGAATCAGAGACAGAATCATTACTTCTGTTAAAATATCAATACAGTCAAGCTTGCAATCCTCTAGAGGATTTCCTCTTCAAATTAATATTCATTAATAATATATTAGAATTTTCCTGACTTTCTACTGAAAGGACCAGTTGCACGTCCTGGACCACATATGGAAAAATGTGACAAAATAGAAATTACCCAAGTGATCCTGTCTTGAAATCAAATCTTGGCATAGTTTATTTATCTGATCCTATTTTTGCACATGAGACAGTCCAGCCAATGTAATTCTATGAACTAAGAAATCATGTAGATAAGTAAGGAAAAGAAAGTGGAAGAGATTATTTAAAATGGCAAAATCATGTTTCCAGACATGAGGACTTGATTTTTCCATCTAGCACAATGGACTTCGTAACGCAAACTCTGGGACCCCACCTTCCTTCTCCCATTTTAACATCATAGCTTTCATTACTTGACTACTCTTCTGCATGCTTACTGTACATTTAAAAGAAACAAATCAACTCTTCTTTACTACAGAAACACACAAGGAAAAAAAAAAAAAGAAAAAAAAGAAAAAGAAAGAATAAGATGTCCTGATGTCCTAGTGGACTGCCTTCTAGTTTTCTAATTTCAGATATCCCTTGACCACTTTTGTGAAGTGCTGTACACTTTCATCAGTGACACTGAAGATGTCTCCTCTTTTTTCTTCATCTGGTCTAAAATACTTGTTCAAAATTAGGTCATGACCCTATATTCCCCTCTAACAAGGAAATGGACAGAATGATTTTTCACTATGATTTCTTTTAAGTCTTTGCAATGGAATAATTTTTTTCCTGGATCAGAATTCAAAGCTATGGGCATTTGCATAGTCTTTCTGTATGCAGCCAAGTTTTCCAGTTTTTTATACAGTACAAATCACAGGCATTTCAATATATATCGTCTCATTGCAAATATGTAGTAATAAACTTAAATACAAAGTTGTGTATTTTCTCATTTGCAGCACCTTTATCCACTCCTAATTTAAACTAACTGTCAGACTTGTTTTTGGTGGGACTTTTACTTGCTTGATCATTCAGTAAGCTACTCAATTTTTAGAAGTTCACTACTCTAAAACTGGGGCTACAACCCTGAAGATAGTGATTGTGAGGTCTACTGGATAAAAAGCTCCATATGAATGCCAAAGCTTCAGCAAAACAATTAGTTCATCTATTTGTTCTATAAGTAGAAGAGTGAAGCAGAAGAGCAGAACAGAGGCAAGTAGTTCAATTTAACATAGGATACTGTCAGGACTGATGTTTATCTTCCACTTCTGATGCTTACATTTTACAGTGTTGACATCCTGCAAAGGTTCAGTATAGAGACATATAAATGAGGACTGAAGAAAATACATTGCAGTGAGAGTTATAGACCTCACTCTATTTTTCCGTGAGAGTACAAGGGATTAATTGATCACAGCATACAAGTACTTTTATAAGGAGGAATCACCAAGTACTGAAGGACTTCATATGTAGTAGAGAAATAAAAGAAAATAAATCAGAATTTCAAAACAAAAAATGCCAAGAAAATTCAAATGAGAAATAAAGCACAGAGATTTGATTGTAGGGTGAGTAGCCATATGACGAACCAGTCAATGGGAGAAGAGGACTCAGTCTATTAATGTTTTCAAATTAATATACCTTTATGTAACATCTATCAATCTTTCTGAAATATACAACCTTGGAAAAATAAATTATTAAAATTGGCTAAATTTATCTCTGATAGTTTGGTGTGGCTGAATGTTGTCTATTAATTTGTACGTGTCTTTAAAAAAATTTAAAAAAAAACAAACAACTACAGACTTAGAGAGAAGCAGACAAAGCCAGAAGGAGAGCTGAGAACACAGCCCACAGCCAAGCCAAGAGAGAGCTGTTGGGATAAGTGCTGATTAGAAAAGAGCTCAGAGCTTCAAGGAAAGATAACATCTCTCTTCATTTGATATTTGTTGTACTGAAGAAAAGAAACCTTTGTACATTTTTTTTCTTAATAATAAATAAAATTTTAGCATCAGTTTCTCTTTCCTTCTGATTTAACAGAATCTGGTTTTCTGGCTAATTGCTCAAGTCAGGGAGAGATAACATTGAGTTTCACAGACTCAGTTCAGAAAGTAAAAGGCAAAATTCAAAAGCCTGTGATAAAACTAGAAGACATAATGATCTCCACATTCCCTAAGACCTGTGAATCTATGTCTATTCTGAGTATGTGTTGATTTGTCCTCCCTGCTTGATATAACAAATCTGATTTACAGACTAGAATTATGCTGCTTTACATTCTTAATGCTCTTCAGCAAACTTAAAATTGAGAGCATATTGAAGGTAGTTGAAAGATGTTAATGCATTTCAAAGATGATATGGAGGAAGGTCTCCAACATTAAATTATTTTCTCAAAGTATGTGTGAGTATCATCATTCTGTAGGCTACTTTGGATTTGTTTTCCTTTTTGCTATTTTCATGATTCCAGACACGTTTGCTTTGAGATTTTGACATTTGACATGAGATATCTTGGTTATAAAATCCTTCATCATCTGTTGAAATACTGAGCTCTTTTTGCCGTATTACAAATTTCCTCATATTAAAATATATTATTCAAAAATTTTCAAATATTCAAAATATGATTCTATCTATACTAGACCATAAGCAATCTGTTGCTGTTTTATCAAGGCCTCTGAACTTCCAAGTCATACTTGTTTTCTCATGATACTAAAATACATGTTTTTAAACAGCCAGGTCTCCAAACTTAGCCATAGTTCTGACTGTCCTTTTGGAGCATTGCCTCACAGTATATTGTATGAGTCTGCAGCAAAGTTTTGATCTCTTACATTTGCATGAAATCCTTTCTAATTGTGATAGTGTTTCTTTTCATAAGGATAGCAGGAAAAAGTCAGCCACAGTTGCGTTGTTACTGCTAACATGAGGAAATAAAAAAACAAGTTTATGTTACTAATTTGAGTAAATTTGAAATAATAAATTCAGATGGGCAGAACAGGAAAATGCATTTAAACTATAAAATAGCTCTTGAAATTTTCCAGAATGGAATGTGTTCCCATAACATTTAACCAAAAGCAAAGAAATGAGGTTGATAGTAATGATTTCCAATCTCTATCCTACTGCAGTACTTATTTTCACATCACTGTGAGTGTTATTAGTAAAGTGTTGGACAGATGAAGTCCACAGTTTAATCAATGTTATGTTTTATGATATTCTTCTTCCAGAATCTTCAATGGAAGATAGATTATACTTAGGTTAAATATATGACTATTAATAGGTAAAGCCTGACCCAGTAGATACCCGTGTCAATCC